ATGGTGGATCAGCCATCACCGTCCTGGTCATCTCATGGCTCCTTCTCCTCGTTTGACACGGCAGATGATGGTCCCGTGTACTGTGTCCCTCATGAGGGTGAGTATTACATCTCATCACAGTTTGTAATTAAGATCATTAAATGCTTATAACAATGGGAGAGAGAGAGGGGAGACATGCAGCTGCTATCTCTGGGCACCAGCCCGGCATTTTGACATTAGTGAGTGATGGAAACCCATCGCTGTGTTTAATATTATACAAACAAACCTAACAAACCTGATAGAGTTTTTGATGCAGTAACGGAGAGGGGCGATGAAGGCAGTGCAGGTGATGTAGTTTATATAGATTTTCAAAAGGCATTTGATAAAGTACCACATTAGAGACTTGTAGCAAAATCGAAGCCCCCGTTATTAAAGGGACAGTGGCAGCGGATACAGAACTGTCTGGGAGACAGAGAGCAGAGAGTGTGGGGAACGGTTGTCTTTCTGACTGGAGGGAAGTGCAGTGGTGTACCCCAGGGGTCGGTATTGGGACCACTGCTGTTTGTGATCTATATAAATGACCTGGACTTGGGTATAGGGAGGACAATTTCCAAGTTTGCAGATGATACTAAGCTCTTTTCAAAGAGCCGTCACAGACACAATGGCCTGAATGGCTGTGGTGTATAATTCTATGATTCTATGAAACCAAACTGAGAGTTCACGTATGCATATGCCACTCACACGTGAATTTGGAATGGAATGGAACACGCACTGTGTCACTGGAGGGATTGCCTCTGTTTACCTAATTCCCCAGAGAGTGCATTGCGCTCTGTGTTACCCAACTGCTGCAGTTTAACCAACTAAAACTCTGTAGCTTGGTATTGAGAGCACTATCTGGTAAACGGCCCTCTGTTTGACCTGATAGGACAACCATGCCTGTTAGGGTTTTGGCTTGCGGGGTTAACTGCCTGTCTGCCTCTCTGGTCAGTCATCAGTAGTGCACTGGAGTATTGTGGACCCATCTGGCTCAGGAGTTGGACTATTCGTAGACTACTGTAGCAAATTGACGTGATTCTGACATTCCGTAGCTAAGAAGATCACCATGGAGCGCTCAGTCCTCAGAACCATAGCACAAAAGGAATTTATGGCACAACAAGAAAGCAGTTCCCCCCAATCCACTCCCTCCAGAGCAACTCTCAATCCTCTCAGTCCCCAGCAGAAACATTGCAGATGAGGTTTAATGTGGAGAAATGCGAAGTGTTGCATTTTGGTGGGAAGAATAAGGAGAGGCAGTGTAAGCTGATGGTACAATCATAAAGGGGGCAAATGAACAGGGAGACCTGGGGGTCCACATCAGCAAATCTCTGAAGGTGGCCGGACAGGTAATAAAGCTGTTAAAAAAGCAAACGGGATACTCGGCTTTATAAACAGGGGCATAGAATTCAACAGTCAGGAAGTTATGTTGAATATTTATAAGATGCTGTTAGGCCTCAGTTGGAGACTGCGTTCAGTTGTGGGCACCGCACTTTAGGAAAGATGTTGGGGCATTGGAGAGGGCACAAAGGAGGTTTACCCGATGGTACCAGGAATGAATGAAGCTATGAGAAGAGATTAGCGAAACTAGGATTATTCTCCCTGGAGCAGAGAAGATTAAGAGGGGATTTAATAGAGGTTTTCAAGATCATGAGAGGATTTGATGGGTTGAACCGGGAAAAACTGTTTCCATTGGCATGTGGGTCAGTAACCCGAGGACACCGATTTAAGAGAGTTGGTAAAAGAAACAGAGGGGAAGTGAGGAAAACATTTTCACCAGTGAGGTGTTGGGATCTGGAATGCATTACCTGAAAGGGTAGTGGGAGCCGATTCAAAACAACGTTTAAGAGAGAAGTAGACGGGTATTTGGGGAGGACAGGATTGCAGGGCTATGGAGAGAAAGGGGGCCGGTGGGATTGACTTGGAAGCTCTTTTGGGAGCCGGCGCAGACGCGATGGGCCGAATGATTCTATTCTGTGCTGTATGATTCTATTCTATGATATGTTGCCTGATTTTCTATTGTATAATTATTTTTACATTTATTGTATGCCTCTCTTTTTAAATATTAATTTCGTTTTAATTTCTTTACTGTCGAAAGGAACCCTAATTTTCACAGTACCCTCTCTGCTGCCTTCGACACTGTCCTCCATTCTATCCTCCTCCGCCGTCCCTTCTCTCAGCTCAGTCTTCATGGTCCTGTCCTTGCCTGGCTCAAATACTACCTCTCACCGTCTGCACTTTGTGTCCACAAACGTCTTCTCCTCCAGCTCCCGCATCGTTTCGTGTGGCATTCCTCAAGGCTCTGTCCTTTATCCCCTCCTCTTCAATATCTATTTGCTCCCTCTTGGTGACCATCATCCACAGACATGGAGTCAACGTCCACATGTATGTGGATGACACCCAACTCTCTCTCTGCCCCCACCCTTGACTCCAGACCTCATTGCTGTGCTGACAGAATGTCTGTCAGACGTCAAGTCCTGGATGAGGGGAAACTTTCTACAGTCGAACGTCAACAAGACCGAGGCTCCTGATTGGCTCTCGTCAGCGCCTCCTCACCTCAGGCGCTGACAGCATCACCATCCCTGGGGCTCACTCCCCCTCACTGAGCCAGTCCCGAACCTTGGGGTCTTGTTTGACCCTCAACTGTGCTTTAAACCTTACATCCGTGCCATGATCCTTTTTGTCTTTCCCACCTCTGCAATATCACCTACATCCACAGCGACCTCTCCCCTGAGGCCAGCGAAATCCTCATCCATGCATTCATCGCATCGCACCCCTGCTTATCAGCCTGGCCAACTCCTCCCTCCACAAGCTGCAGATCATCCAGAACTCTGCAGCTCATGTCCTCTCCTGGACCAGCTCTGTGACCCCATCATCCCCACCCTCACCTGGCACCACCCATCCCCCAGAGGATAAAGTTCAAGATCCTGGTCCTCACCTTCACGGCCCTCCACAGCCTTGCCCCCTCCTACATCTGTGACCTGCTAACTCCATATCATCCTGTCCGCTCCCTCCGATCAGCAAGCTCTGGCCTGCTTCCATGTCCCTTGCCTGGCCTTCTCCACCATCAGCAATCAAACCTTCATGCTCTCTGTCCCCACCCTTTGGAACTTTATTCTACATTCCCTTTGCCTCACCTCCTCCTTTACCTCCTTCAAGGCCCGACTGAAGTCCCTGCTCTTTGACCACTGTCTTCAGTCACCCTCCTCCCCTCCCCTTTCTGCCCTCCACCCCTCCTGATCCAAACCCCCTGCTTGGGTCCAAATCCCTGACTGTCGAGCGCTCAGAACATCCTCCCGATATGAAAGGCGCTGTGTAGATGTAATTTGTTGTTGTTGTTGTATCTCTTTTATTAACAGTAGATTTATCCCTAATTTATATCCTGTTTATCTTGACCTTGAAGCTTTCCCGCTGATCATTGCCTATCTTCTCCATCAGCCTTTCTACCCAATTAATCCATGCTCATTCCTTTCTTATCTCTTTGATGGTACTTTGGGCTTTGACTGTTCCTCCACTGTTTTGTGTCTAGAATAAATTCCTAACAGAACAATAATTTCCTTCTTATTTCTCCCCTCAACCCAGATGGATTCAGCCTTTCACTCACCATCATCCTTGTGAGTGAAAGACTGCAATAGAATCCTTGATTGTCATCTTTTCTCCAACTCTATTTCTTCTAAATTTTGGTAGCCAGTAACACTTAGTTTCCAGTCCTATCCCAGATTTAGCCAAATATCTGATACTACTACAGTATCATGCCCTTCATAGCAATTTGTGTCTCCAGCTCGCTAATTTTACTCATACCATGTATATATACCTCGAATCACAAATACACAGTCACTACACTTTACAGTTTATCTTTACAGTGAAGCGCTTTGAGATGTCTCTAAGATGTTATAAGGCGCTGCATCAAATCCAAGGATTATTATTGTTATCTGTCACTGACCTTTTGGAATTCCTTCACAATCCGGCTCCCCGTTGATCTATTCCGTTATCTCTCTGACATCCTCTTTTACTTTTTCTACAATCTGTTGTTTTCTAGTGACACTTTCTTTACTTTCTTGATTTTTCCAACCCTTGCCATATTACTTTAAATCCTTCCCCACAGGATTAATAATTCTCCCAGCAAGGAGATTGGTCTCAGCCACCCAGCCCTGCCCAGATGTAGTTGATCCATCCTGTACAGATCACACCTAAAACCAGAGACATTTATGCCACAGACAAAGGCCAAAATGGGCCAATATGAATTTTGCCTCAACCACTGCTCCCAGCAGAGTATTCATCAAACAAATACTCCTAATCTCCCTATTCACTTGTGTACTAACTATCCTGCTATCTAAACATTTTATTATTTAATAACTAACTACATTATATTACTAAATGATAATAATTTATTATTTAATATGCCAGAACTGGTTCCAGTGCCCCAAGAATCTCAATCCTTCCCTCCTACACCATTGTTCCAGCCACTGCCAAAACCTGGGCATTTTGTTTGACCCTCAACTGTCCTTTCTCCCCCATATCCATGCCATGACCCACTCTGCCTTCCCCACCTCCGCAACATCGCCCGACTCCGCCACTGCCTCATCCCTCAGGCTCCCAAATCCCTCATACATGCATTCGTCACCTCAAGGCTCGACTACGCCAACTCCCTGCTTGTCGGCCTCTCCAACTCTTCCCTCCACATGCAGATCATCCAGAACTCTGCGGCTCGTGTCCTCTCCCGCACCAGGCTCCGTGACTCCATCACCCCCACCCTCACCCGACTCCACTGGCTCCCCATCACACAGAAGATAGAGTTCAAGATCCTCGTCCTCACAGGCCCTCCATGGCTTTTCTCCCTCCTACATCTCTGACCTGCTGATCCCCTACCAACCTGCTCGCTTCCTCCACTCAGCGAGCTCCGGCTACTCCATGTCTCCCGCCCGATCCCATCGGAGGCCGGGCTTTCAGCCTCTCTGCCCCCACACTCTGGAACTCCATCCCACGGACCCTTCGCCTCGCTTCCTCGCTTGCCTCCTTCAAGGCATGACTCAAGACCCTTCTTTTTGAGCATGCCTTCACCGCCATCCTACCCCCAGCCCTCCCTCATCCGAAACTTGCCCCCCCTCCACCCCCCCACGCTCGGGTCCTGATCCCCGACTGTTCAGTGTCTTGAGACGTCCTCCCGATGTGAAGGCGATTTGCAAATATCATTTTGTTGTTGTTGAGATCCAAACCTCGAGATCCTGAACCTCAATCTATCACCTAGTTCTTGAAAATCCTCCTGCACGCCCTGAATCCTCCTCCTTTTTACGTCATTGGTTTCCACATGAACCACAACTGCAGGCTGTTTTATATAATATAATAATAATAATCCTTGGATTTGACCCAGCGTCTTATCATGTTCTCTCTTCTCTCTTTGTCTACAAACTCCTCTACACCTGCTCTGTTACATGTTACATCCCATAACCTGGCAGCTGGGGGTAAGGACACCATTGGGACCTGACGGTTATGGCTACAGAACCTCCTGTCTATTGCCTGATTATGGAGTCCCCGATCATTCCTAACCTGCACTTTACCTTCTTTGGCAGCTGCCTGCTGCACAGGACCATGGCATTGCCCAGGGCTGCTGGCCACTGACGTGTTGTCTTTGGAGCGTCACTAGACCCTCCTCAAGTTCAGTGACTGAGCTTGAGGACTTGTAACAACAACAACAACTTGGATGTATATAGTGCCCTCCACGTCGGACGGCGTCTCAGAGAGCTTCACAGTTACAGATCCCGGGGCCGAGAGAGGGGGAGGGGGGGGGAGCCAGGTGGGGGGTGGGGGGAGGAAGGTGAAAAAAGGTGCGGTCGAAAAGAAAGGTCTTCAGCCGAGACCTGAAAGTAGGAAGAGAGGCGGTGAGGCGAAGGCAGTGAGGAAAGGAGTTCCAGAGCCTTGGGGCGCAATAGCTGAAGGCACGGCCGCCGAGGGTGGAATGAAGGATTCGGGGGACGAGGAGGAGGCCAGAGCCGGAGGAACGAAGGCAACGGGTACTGTTTTGAGGAGAGAGGAGGTCAGAGAGGTCGGGGGGTGCAGAGGAGTGGAGGGATTTGAAGACAAGGGTGAGGATCTTGAAGTGGATCCTCTCTGGGACATTTTCATGCGGGTGAGAATGCGGGTAGCAGAGTTTTGAATGAGTTGGATTTTATGGATGGTAGTGGATGGGAGACCAGTGAGGAGGGTGTTGGAGTAGTCCAGCTGAGAGGTGACAAAGGCATGGACCAGGGTTTCAGCGTTTTTCAGAGAAAGGTATTGGCGGAGACGGGCGATGTGTCGGAGGTGGAAGAAAGCGGTGCTGGTGAGGGACCGGATTTGGGGGAGGAAGGATAATTGGGGGTTGAACCTGACACCTAGGTTGCGTACGGGTTGGAGAGTTTAGGGGGAGGTCGGGTAGGTGGAGGAGGTGAGAACCGTGAGATTTTAGACTTTGACAAGAGCCAAAGAGTATAGCTTCTGTCTTGTCAACATTCAGCTGAAGGAAGTTTGCGCTCATCCAACCCCTGAGATCTGACAGGAGAACATCAGGGGACTGGGGTTCGCAAAGAGAGATGGAAAAATAGAGTTGGGTGTCATCTGCATTCATGTGGAAATGTACCCCATGTCTGCGGATGACATCCCCAAGAGGGAGCATGTAGATCAGAAAGAGGAGGGGGACAAGGATGGATCTTTGGGGTACCCCACAGGTGACCGGGTGAGAGTGGGAGGAGAAGCCATTTGTGCAGATGTACTGCTGGCGGTTTGTGAGGTAGGACTCGAACCGGGCGAGTGCGGTCCCACTGAGGTGGATGACGGAGGCCACATCGCACAACACAGGCATCAGCTCTCCCTCCCTCCATTACTCTGATACTTTTTCTCCAACATCTCTTCAGCCCCAGCTCTCCCCAGTCTCTGCTTCAAGTCCGCTTTAGTCGCCCCGGCCCCCCACCTCCTCCCGGAGGATGGAATCCAGCCCAGATGAGGATCTGTTGCTGAGCGCAGTTATTGGTGACCCAGAATAAGGGATGCAGAGTAATATGCTGTCACAGCCTCGAGCTGATGTGAGACGGGCTCCTGCTGCCAGATGTGCCTAGTGTTTGTTTGTTTTGTGTCACAGAGAGCATGGTGGAGAACCTGGCTCCACCCATCAGTGAAGAGGAGGCTGGGGAGTACACCTCACTGAAGGGGGATGCCACTGAGATGCTGTTACTTAAATCGTCTGACAGTGAAGCCTCCAGCAATGGGTCAGGGTCAACCAGTGGAGCTGTCTATGCCCATGTGGCCCGGCTCTCCAAGCAGTCAAAAGACAGCGACGTAAGCATTCACAGCAACAGCGCCAAGACCCCTTCCCCTGACAAGGCCAAGCCGCCCCCACCTGATCCAGCAACCAAGCCCAAGCTGTCCTGGATCCACGGGAAATCCAGCTCCGGTCAATCAAATGCTTCGACTGCAACACACCCACTGTCGCTCGATAAAGGAGCCAATCAAACAGATTCCCGGGAGTGGGGGGGTGGGGTTGGGGGGGCAACGGGCAACGCCAGGAAGAGAAACCTCAGCGACTCTTCGGGGGGAGGGGGGGCTCGACAGGACGGAAAGAAATCGCTCACAGATGTCAAAATGCGTCACAAAGAAAAAGGTCCTGGCAGAGCAAGAGAGCAGAGTGCCAGCCACACAGGTCATGGAAATAAAACACACAAACCCTCGGAGCAGGTGGAAAATATCAATGGGGCGACACACAATGCTCTTAAAAAAGTTGGCAACTTACCAGGAGAAAAGAAGGGCGATGGAAGAGAGGGCGGGAGAAGCCCCTCACTGACCAAGGATTGGCCAGATCTCGTCTTTCCCCATCTATCCTCAGAGACAGCGACTATGCTCGCCTCGCAGTTGAAGGAAAGGACTCAGAGTCTGAACAGGATGGAGGTGGAGCTGAAGCAGAATGGGCTGATTTCCCCCCAGAGGCCTACCCCTCCACAGAAGGCAAAACGCTCGTTTGGTGCCAATAAACAGAGGCCGACCAAAGCGGTCATCCCGACATCAAGCAGCCTGCAGAAAATGATCAGACCACCCTCAGCACCTCCTGATCCTGAGCCAGCAGATAGCAAGCCAGCGGCTCAGGACAGTCAGCCTGGACCTGACCAGGAGCAAGTCAAACAGCAATTAGGGGATCAGACCCCCAAAAAGACCCCCATCAAAAAGCCCCCGAGGAAGAGAAGCAAAGAGGTCACAGTGGAGTCTTGGAGCCACCACAAGGAGCAGCTGAGCTCTGGGTATGTCAAGAGCTGTGGCTCTCTCACCGATCACCCCAGAACAGCTGCTCTGCCTCCGCAGGCCGTGGGTGTGAAGGAGACGTAGAGCAGCTTCTCCCGGCCACCAGATGCTGGTGGTGTGAACCTTTGTCACCTCCAGTCATTACAAACAGATCTGACAAGAAGAAAGAACTAACTGACATTTTTATATCACCTAATCATGTGGAAACATTTCAAAGCGTTTCATCAGTAATTACTGTCAAATGTCGTGACTGTTTTTCTAGGCAAATGCACCAACCATTTTGCAGCAGCAAGGATCCACATCCAGCCCTGAGATGAATGATGAATTTTATTTGGGGGATTGTTGGCCAGGACACTGGGAGAGAAACTTCCTTCCCTTTTCACCTCATGAGATCTTTAATGTCACCTGAATAGGCATAAAGTGACTTTGGTTTAATGTTTCATCTGAAGGACACCACCTCTGACAATGCAGATAATAATAATAATAATCCTCGCATTTGATATAGCGCTTTTCACGTCGGGAGGACGTCCCAAAGCGCTTCACAGAACACACTGTAAGTGAATTGACTGTATATTTGTGGGCGAACGCGGCAGCCAATTGCGCACAGCAATGTCCCACAAACAGTCGTAGATTGAAAATGACCAATTTATTATTATTTTGGTTTTGGAGGAATTATTATTAGGCTCTGTGTGGAGTAAGGAAACTTGCCCAAGGTTTCGCCCTCTGCCTGGAATTGAACTCAGGTCTCTCACTTGCAAAGCGAGTGCTCTAACCACTGAGCTACAGATCACCCCAACACTGTTGGAGGGTCAGCCTGGACTGTGAGGTCAATTTGGGGAGCGAAGACCATCAGCTGAACCGTCTCCTGAACTAAACTTTGCGTCATTCCAGGAACCATTTTAAAGTAAACCCGAACAGAGCCACAGCTTCGAGTCCAGAAACATCAAATTCTGCTTTCTTTTGTTGTTTATTATCTGCAGTTGTACGTTCTTCCCTCCCTCCTTCCCTCTATTCCCTTCTTCCCTCTCCCCTCTCCCCTCTTTCCCTCCCCCTCTCCCCCTCTTCACCCCCTCTCCCCCTCTCCCAGAGTTGCTGTGAAGGAAAGCTAATTGGACACCAGTCGATGATGTGACCGATAGTGCGGAGTCCGAGTGCTGACACTGACGCTGTGGCTCAGACTCTCCCACAGACCGGAGATACCGAACTGTGTAAATTTCAATCCACGATGACAGCCGAAAAATTACTATCAAATGTTATTTTATTCCATTATGAGCTGTTGGCTTTTGTATTTTATTATAATATTTTGATGTTCTCGTTGATATTGTGACCAAACGAAACTGTAAAGGAATGGACCAAAGATGTGTGTGACCAGGGCTGTGAGTGTGTAATTACGGGTGTGAGTGTGTAATTACGGGTGTGAGTGTGTAATTACGGGTGTGAGTGTGTAATTACGGGTGTGAGTGTGTAATTACGGGTGTGAGTGTGTTTACTGTCCTCACTGTGGGGGCTGTTGGGGGGTCACAGGCTACAGCTGCTGCCTCACACCAGTGAGGATCAGAGAGGGGACACAGTGGAGCTGCACCAGGAATTGTATGGGACTGGGATGAGTGTGAGGGGGGGGTGAGTGTGAGGGGGGGGGTGAGTGTGAGCAGGAGGGGGGTGAGTGTGAGCGGGGGGGGTGAGTGTGAGGGGGGGTGACTGAGGGGGCGTGAGTGTGAGCGGGGGGGGGTGAGTGTGAGGGGGGGGTGAGTGTGAGCGGGCGTGAGTGTGAGGGAGCGTGAGTGTGAGGGGGGGTGAGTGTGAGTGGGGGGTGAGTGTGAGGGGGGGTGAGTGTGAGCGGGGGTGAGTGTGAGCGGGCGTCAGTGTGAGGGGGCGTGAGTGTGAGGGAGGGGTGAGTGTGAGGGGGGGGTGAGTGTGAGGGGGCGTGAGTGTGAGTGGGGGGTGAGTGTGAGGGGGGGTGAGTGTGAGTGGGGAGTGAGTGTGAGCGGGGGTGAGTGTGAGGGGGCGTGAGTGTGAGGGGGCGTGAGTGTGAGGGAGGGGTGAGTGTGAGGGGGCGTGAGTGTGAGGGGGCGTGAGTGTGAGCGGGGGGTGAGTGTGAGCGGGGGGTGAGTGAGGGGGCGTGAGTGTGAGCGGGGGGTGAGTGTGAGGGAGGGGTGAGTGTGAGCGGGGGGTGAGTGTGGGGGGGGGTGAGTGTGAGCGGGGGATGAGTGTGGGGGGGGGTGAGTGTGAGCGGGGGATGAGTGTGAGCGGGAGGTGAGTGTGAGCGGGGGGTGAGTGAAGGGGGGTGAGTGTGAGGGGGGGTGAGTCTGAGGGGTGGGTGAGTGTGAGGGGGGGTGAGTGTGAGCGGGGGTGAGTGTGAGGGGGGGTGAGTGTGAGCGGGGGGGGGGGTGAGTGTGAGCAGGAGGGGGGTGAGTGTGAGCGGGGTGAGTGAGTGTGAGCGGGGTGAGTGTGAGGGGGGAGTGTGAGGGGGGGTGAGTGTGAGGGGTGAGTGTGAGGGGGGTGAGTGTGAGGGGGGTGAGTGTGAGCGGGGGTGAGTGTGAGGGGAGTGAGTGTGAGGGGCGGTGAGTGTGAGGGGGAGTGAGTGTGAGGGGGTGAGTGTGAGGGGGGGTGAGTGTGAGGGGGGTGAGTGTGAGGGGGGGTGAGTGTGAGGGGGTGAGTGTGAGGGGGGTGAGTGTGAGGGGGTGAGTGTGAGGGGGGTGAGTGTGAGCGGGGGGTGAGTGTGAGGGGGGTGAGTGTGAGGGGGGGTGAGTGTGAGGGGGGGTGAGTGTGAGGGGGTGTGAGTGTGAGGGGGGGAGTGTGAGGGGGGTGAGTGTGAGGGGGGTTGAGTGTGAGCTGGGTGAGTGTGAGGGGGGTGAGTGTGAGGGGGGTGAGTGTGAGGGGGGTGAGTGTGAGGGGGGGTGAGTGTGAGGGGGGTGAGTGTGAGGGGGGTGAGTGTGAGGGGGGGTGAGTGTAGGGGGGTGAGTGTGAGGGGGGTGAGTGTGAGGGGGTGAGTGTGAGGGGGTGAGTGTGAGGGGGGTTGAGTGTGAGGGGGGTGAGTGTGAGGGGGGGGAGTGTGAGGGGGGGTGAGTGTGAGGGGGGTGAGTGTGAGGGGGGTGAGTGTGAGGGGGGGTGAGTGTGAGGGGGGGTGAGTGTGAGGGGGGGTGAGTGTGAGGGGGGTGAGTGTGAGGGGGGTGAGTGTGAGGGGGTAGTGAGTGTGGGGTGAGTGTGAGGGGGGGTGAGTGTGAGGGGGGGTGAGTGTGAGGGGGGGGTGAGTGTGAGGGGGGTGAGTGTGAGGGGGGTGAGTGTGAGGGGGGGTGAGTGTGAGCGGGGGGATGGGATGTGTGTGTGTGTGCACGCAGTGTGTGTAGTGACTGTGTGTAGTGACTGTACAGTGTGTGTAGTGATGTGTGCAGTGTGTGTAGTGACTGTGTGTAGTGATGGTGCAGTCTGTGTAGTGACTGTGTGTAATGACGGTGCTGTGTGTGTAGTGACTGTGTAGTGACTGTGCAGTGTGTGTAATGACTGTGTGAGTGACTGTGCAGTGTGTAGTGACTGTGTGCAGTGACTCAACAGCTACAGTTACCGCAACAGCTACAGTTACAACAACAGCTACAACTAGAGCAAAAACTACAGGTACCGCAAAAGCTGCAGCTACACCAACAGCTGCATCACAGCTAAACCAACAGCTACAGCAACAGCTACAGCTACAGGAACTGCTATAGATACAGCAACAGCTGCATCCACAGCTACAACAACAGCAACTGCTGCAGCTACAGTAAAGGTTACAATAACAGCTACAGCAAAAGCTACAGGGACAGGAACAGCAACAGCTATCAACAGCTACAACTACAGCTTCAGCTACAGCTGCATCAACATCAACAGCTACAGCAATATCATCAGCAACAGCTGCAGTTACAGCAACAACAAAAGCTGCACCAACAGATGCTGCAATACCCTCTGCTAACGCTACAGCAACATCAACAGCTACAGCTACATCAAGACCTATAGGAACAGCAACAGCAACGATTACAACTTCAGCAACAGCTACATCTACAGCTATAGGTACAGCAGCAGCTATATCAACAGCTACATCACAGCAACAGTAACAGATGCAAAAATCTACATTGTCACGATAGCTACAGTGACAGCTACAGCAACAACTACAGTAAAATCTATATCTACAGCTACAGATAAAACACAACTACATCTACAGCAACAGCCACAATAGACAGCGACAGCTACATCAACAACAATAGCTACAAATACAGCAGAAGCTGCAGTGACAGCTACAGCGACATCTACAGCTACAGCAACAACTACAGTAACAGCTACAGATATAGCAACAACTATAGCAACAACAGCAGTTACAGCGATAGCTACAGCATTAGTTACAGTGATAGCAACAGCTACAGCAACAGCTACTGCGACATCTACAGCAACAGCTACAGCAACAGTAACAGCAACAGCTACAGCAACAGCAACAGTAACAGCAACAGGTACAGCAACAGTAACAGCAACAGTAACAGCAACAGTAACAGCAACAGGTACAGCTACAGTGACATCTACAGCAACTGCTACAACAACAGTAACAGCAACAGCTACAGCGATAGCTACAGTGAAAGCTACAGTGACAGTGAAAGCTACAGCAACATCTACAGATACAGCAGCGATAGCTACAGCCACAGCTAAAGTGACAGCTACAGCAACACTGAGATCTACAGTGACAGCAACATCTACAGTGAAAGCAACCGCGATAGCAACAGCTACAGCGACATCTACATCAACAGCTGCAGCGTCAGTGTAAGTGACAGCTACAGCAACAGAGACAGCAACAGCTACAGCGGCAGCGATAGTTACAGCAACAGCTACAACAACAGCAACAGCAACAGCTAGAGTGACAGCTACAGCAACATCTACATCGTCATGACAGCTACAGCTACAACAACAGCTACAGCAACATCAACAGCTAGAGCGACAGCTACAGTGACATCTACATCGTCATGACAGCTACAGCTACAACAACAGCTACAGCAACATCAACAGCTAGAGCGACAGCTACAGTGACATCTACAACGACAGCTACAGCATCAGCTACAGCATCAGTGACAGCAACAACTACAGCAACAGCAACCGCAACAGTTACAGCGACAGCTACAGCGACAGTGATAGCGACAGCTATTCGACATCCACAACAACAGCTACAGTGGCAGCGACAGTTACAGCGACAGCTACAGAAACAGCTACAG